GGGCTGCAGGTCTGATTCGAACCCTGGGCCGCTGCAGCAAGGACTCAGCCTCAGTACATGGGTCGCCAGCTCTGCCCACTGAGCTAACTGGGCGCCCCCATAAGTAACTTGCAACAATGTCATTGTCAACATTCTAAGAGTCTTCTGACCAAATTTCAGCTGGATGTGGTCAATCTGCTAGGAGAAATACATAAGTGTAATAAATTCTATTTCCGGTTACGACAAGGTAACACTACCACTTTATATTTTTTGCTTTTTTTTATTGCCTTTAATTGGTAGACAGGAAAGTGGGGCAGAGAGAAAGGGGATGACACGCAGCAAAGGGCCGCAGGTCAGACTTGAACCCTAGGCTGCTGAAGCAAGGACTCCGCCTCGGGACATGGGTCGTCGGTGCTACCACTTTTACTGAATATTATCACATAGATATGTTCAGGACGCGACTCTTAGACACTTGAAGTTTGGTGGATGTACATTCAAGTTACAGCAAATTCATGTGTGTCCACGTTTGATGCCACGCCGCAGACATGCCCTTCAACAACAACTCACTACCTTCCTCACACCTCACACACTCACCTTCCTGCATTTTCTGACGAAATTTCAGCTCGATCTGATCAACCTGCTAAGAGTAGAACATGAAAATATAAAATTTAATTCCTGTTTAATTCCTGTCCGGCGATATGAGTGACTGAATATCATCATGTAAACGTGTTCAGGGTGGGACTCTTATCAAATGTGTGAAATTTGACTGGACCATATACGCTGAACTTCCTGTTATACGGAAAAACGCCAAATTTGGGCGCCACGCTACGGGGACGCCATTTGAAGCACAGTCACAAACAGCACAACTTTAAAATCATGAATGTCTTTAGATGTCAGTGTCCAAATGTTAAGTCGATCTGATCAATTCCCTAAGAGGAGTCCTTCAAGTCCTTCGAGTTCCTACAATTACAATAGGGACTTTGCAGGATTTGGGCTCAGTGATATTAGCAATTGGAGTCAAGCAGGACGATGGTACTATTAAATGTTCAATATCAATACCATAAGATAGAACGAGGTCAAGAATATGATTAAAACAATGAGTGAGTTTATTTACACTTTGACAGAAGCCAATTGAGTCTATTAATTAAATAAATGCATTACTAAAGTTGTCATTATTAATATCCACATGAATATTAAAATCACCTAAAATAATTACTTTGTCTGTTTTAAGGACTAAACTTGAGAATTTAGACAGAAAATCAGAGGCCAGGAGTGCGGTACACTATAACAAACAGTCAAAACAAGATGTCTGTAATAACAAAGTTAATCACTAAAAACTACAGAGTGGGCATGAAGTTGAGGAAATTACTCCAGGATCTAACCATAACTTGAATGTGCTGTCCTCTCTCTCTCTCACATACAAACACAACCAGCAGACATGCAGCAGCACATGATAATTGTATCATATATGGGTCCAACAGTAGGTTAACAATTTATCGTAATGAAAGAGCCAGTCTGTCTCAGCAGCCTGCAATACTGGACCACACTTCAAAGTAAATAAATCACCACATCAATGTCCAAAAAAATCCTTAGAAATCACAGGCTTATCTCGCCTATTTCTCGAATCTCTGTTCTACTGTCACACATGCATTATAGTTATATACATTAGTATATACATGATGGCATTAAAATCTTTTTATATTCTATGTGCTCCTGACAGTATAATAAGCCACTATACATCTATATAAAGGCCCTGTCATGAAAAAAAAGTAACTACTGTGATATACCATAAAACTGTCAAAAAAATAAAATAAAATAAAATAAACAACATGATACACATTTTTGGTCATAATGCACAGCACTACAACAGATGTAATTGTGTGGATAGGCTGCTTCTTTTTTTTCCTGAAAAAGCCTCTTGATTTTCCTACTATAAGCATTTGCACTCGTAGAAAAAAATGTGTTTGTGAACAATTATTTTCTCTGTCACTGTCAGATATTATCAGAATCATGAAAGTATCACATTTCACTGTTTATTCGGGATAGATTCAGTCTGCAGTGTAGTGTGCTCTGAATCAATAAACAAATCAATTATCTGTTGAAATGGCTGATCCTGTTCATCCTAAAACCAAGGTTAGCGGGATAGCATATTTTCATTGTTCTATGTGAACTATCTCTACAACTTATTTTTCTATTTTACTTATTTTTTATTTTTTAGGGCTACCATTGAGAATGTTTCTTACGGGGACAGTGGAATGTTTTAAACTTCTTCCAGGAAATAAGTGGTGTCAAAACAAGACAAGGCTTGGCATTTGCTAATCTATAAAATCCTCTCTTTTATACATTTTCTCCTTTTCTTCCTGCATGATAAAGATCTGTTTGTAGCTGGGAATTTTAACTGCCCCATAACTGCAACAATCACATCAAACATATTACAAAAGACTACTTCAGTAGCTTATCATAAAAAGTAAAAACCAGTATAACAAAGATGACCATAAAAAGCAGTGAAACAATGAGACCATAAAAATAAAACAATAAAAACATTCAATGTACTAGCAAACATTCAAGGTAATGCAACAGAAGTGACATAAAAAAGGCTGCAAAATCAGAGAATGAATAGAAAGGTATAAGAGAACGAAAAGTATCAGAGCATCCCAGTGCATCATCTTGGTTTGAATGAGCCATATTATTTAAAATGTTGTACTTTTTAGGTTTACAGGCACATTCTCAGGAATAAAAAGTTATTTTGCAGTCATACAAAGAGCATGTGCAGTTGGCCCAGAGTACAATTTTTTGGCCAATTAGAGTATCCAGGAATTAGTATTTTTCCACGCAATTGACATCATGAGTATTACAACATACATACGACATTACAGCAGTTCTGATTTGATTTATACTTTATACTAAGTTTAGACTTAAGTATACATTTGTATTTTACTACAAATCGTGCATACCTAACATTACTGCTGAGCCTCCTCTGGAACAAATGGTAATGCTTCAGAGCTTTATATTAATGCAGCCACATATTTAGAGTGATTTGTCCTTATTATTTAAATCAACTTGTAGAGACAGACCAGAAACTTGTTCGAGATAAACTTTCGAATAAGCATGTCTGCTTTTAAATTCTGTGACAATAGTCAAAACGATAATGCAATGCAAAGTTTTTAAATCATCCTGCATTTAAAACTGCATGAACATGCAATCATATTGAATTTTATTTGCAAGCAAGTTTTACATCTTTACAGGTTGATTGATATTACAACACTGAAAAACTAAATATGCTAATTGGTATAACACGAAGAAGAAAGAACAATGTGCTCTACTGTTACCACTGAAAGTGAGTATTTCCCATCACTAACATTTTGAGAATCATTTACTGAGTTTCAGCAGTAAATCGTTGGATATGGTGCAATATGTCTCCTTTCTATGGCAGTAAAAATTACTGCATGGCTATTAACCACAAGAGTGACTGACGTCATTCTGTTGTACTGTAACTGCTGTTAGTTACAACCTCTTGTATTTGTTTTGAGTATTAGATTACATCTTCCTATGTTAGTGCTGGACATTATTATTATTATTCTTATTCAACACATTATTGAAAGTACAACAGAAATGTTTGGTTAATGGGTTGTGAAAGAACAAGTTGATTTTATCCATTTAAAACATTTAAAAAACCATGATACAACAAATGAGAACTTCTGCAAC